TGGAGTGATAAAAAAAAAAAGAGAGGAGTCAATGATTTCCACAAAGTTTTGGGCCTCAATAACTACAAAGATGGAATTGCTATTAAATGGTATGGGGAAGACAGCAGGAAGAGCAAATTTGAGGGAGACTAAAGTCAGGGTTATAAATCTGACATTTAGGGGACAGGTTGGAGCCAGAGAAATAAATTTTGGTATCAGTATATAGAGGATATTTAAAGCCAGGACACTAGAAAAGATGATCAAAACAGTGATGGAAAAGAATGACAGAAAGTAAAAGGTTGGAGCCTTAGTACACTGTACTATTGAAATAGGAGATGGGGGATATAAAACCAAAGGAAACCAAAAAGCAATGGCCAGTTGAAGTTGAAAAAAAATCAAAAGTTTTGGTGGTGTGAAAGGCAGGTGATTAGGTACCTAAAAAAGGAAAGATGGGTTAAAACTTTAATTCTGTTGGTAATTCAAGTAAGATAAGGTCTGAGAATAACCACTGGATTTAGCAATGTAGAAGTCACTGGAGACTTTGAAAGAAGTATTTTCAATTACAGATGTAAAGGCAAATAGTATTACTAAAATATAGTAAACAGAGGACAAGGGGAAGAATAGAAACAAGAAGTACAGACAACTCACGGAGTAAAGAAAATGTTTTTCTTTTACTCTTTTCTTTTTTTAGTTGGTTTTTAAAATGGAAAAAAATTACAACAGGTCTGTACATTGATAGGAATATGCAAGTAGTAAGAGAAAAACTAATGATGCAGAAAAGAAATGCTGAGGTGATGTCCTTTAGTAGGTGGGAGGGAAGTGGATGTAGCCACAAGTCAAAGTAAGCCTAAGACAGGAAAACAAACAGTTCCTCCACATTAACAGGATTAAACAGACCCAAGTAGGTGGGCAGACGTGATGGCAGGAACTTGCTGACGTTTCCTTTTGACTGCTTGGTTATTTTTATTTTTTCAGTGATAATGAAAGTATTGTCCACTAATTGAGAGTGAGGATAAAGAAAAGCCTACAGCAAATATGAGGAGAACAAAGAAATGGTTATCTAGGAAAATTTTCATTCTTATGTGAAATTTTAGGCCCAAATTTAAAATCTTGTTCCCCCCATCCTTCCCCCTGCTCTATATATCAAAATTTACCTCATTTTTAGACTCAGTTCTTTTCTTCATGCTCTTTTTCTTTAAAGATTCCTGTTAATTTAGACATCTGACAGAATTTATCCTTGTAATTCTGATGTCACAAACTTGTAAATTCAGGCAAACTCTTAAGATTCCAGGCTCCTTTCCAAGCACCTTCATCCAAGTCAACAAGATTAGCCACACCACCATCACATAGGGTCACTGTACTCAGGTTTCCTCTTTGATATCTGACAGCTATCTCAGTATTCTCTAACCGCCAGGAGGGTTATATATGACCAGAACATAATCATTGTTAGTTGGAATTTATATTCATAGACTGCAAATAGAAGAAAACTTGAAGGTTTCCTAATCCTGTATAGCAAGATCTCCTCTCATCACTCTATTAGGTTGACATCAGACAAGTTGAGTCATTTGTTTCAGAAAACCAAACTTAAGAACAAAAAAGCAAAAAACTTAGATAAGACCAAAGAAACAAATAAATAAAAGCCAATGCAACTTATCCAAGGAAAGCAAAACATCTGAACAGCAATTAATATAATACATTCTATTAATAGAAAGGACAAAGAACACAGGACAGTCTTAGAGGTAGAATAAACAGCTGGCAAAATCCAACACCTTCCCACAACAAAACCACTCAACAGGGTTGGGGATTTAGCTCAGTGGTGTTTGCCTCACAAGCTCAAGGTCCCAAGTTTAATCCCTAGTACCAAAAAAATCCCCCCCAAACAAAACAAAACAAAAAACAATCCACAAACTAATGATGTAAGGGACTCCATCAATCTGATAAAAACTAAACTCTTCCCTCTTAACAGAAATAAGACATGGATGTCAACTTTGCCATTTTCATGTAACTTTGTACTGGATTTTCTAGCCCCAGCAATTAAAGGAGAGGAAAAAAAAAAAAAAGAATTTAACACAGTAACTGCAAGTTTTATGCTCTGAAAGCTGTAAAACATTGTTAAATGAAATTGAAGACATATAAATGGGAAGACATCCCATATTCACAGGGTATATGGCAACAGTCCCCAGATTAATCAACAAATTTAATGTTATCTCTATTAGAATTCCACATGGCTTTTTTTGTAGGAAGGTGAGTCCATCTTTCTCTTTTCCTTCCTTCCCTCCTTCCTTCCTCCTTTCCTCCCTTCCTTGGTTACTTCTTTCCTCCCTTTTCTTCCTTTGTTCCTTCCTTCCTTTCGAGACAGGGTCTCTCTGTGTATTCCAGGATGGCCTTGAACTTACTATGTGGCTCAAGCTCACCTTGAACTCACAGTAACACTCCTGCCTCAGCCTCCCTACTTCTGGGATTACAAGTGTGTACCACTACACAAGATAGGAGGGGGATCTTAAAATTTATGTGAAAATTCAAGGGACTCAGAAGGCAAAACAATTTTGAAAAAGAAGAAAGTTGGAGAACTCACATTGCTAACTTCAAAACTTACCACAAAGCTATACTATTTCAGAGAAATTATACTATCATCAATTGAATAGAATTAAAAGTTTAGAAATAAACTGATAATTAATGATCAGTATAATGGGGCAAATAATAGTTCCATTAACAAATGATGCTGCAGTACCACTTATCCAACATGTAAAAGAATGACGTACTCTTACTTAACAGCATATGCAAAACTTTATTCAAAATGGATCACAGGCCTAATAGACCTAACACTAGTAAGATCTTACAACACATATGAATAAATCTTTATGACCCTGGATTAGGAAATGGCTTCTTAGGTTACAACAAAAGCATAAATCATAAAATAAAAAGTACATAAACTGGACTTCAGCAAAATTAAAGAGTTTTGTGTTGCTCAGGAAAGAGAAAAGACAGTGCTATGAAAAACTGACTAGCAATTCTATTCTTGGATAAATACCCAAGAGAAATGAAGACATATATCTACAGAAAAACCTATATACAATTTTTCATAGCAGTATTCTAGCCAATAAGTGGAAACAATTCAAATGTTTATCAACTGATGACTGGATAAAAAGTGGTTTAACCATAGAATGGAATATTATTCAGCAACAAAATTAAGACAGTATTGATACATGCTACAACAGGGATGAATCTTGAAAACTTTATGCCAAATGGAAAAATCCAGTCACAAAAGATCATATATTATATACTCCATTTATAAGGAAAGCTGAGAATAGAACAATTTATATAGACAGAAAATAGATTAGTGGTTCTGTAGGTTTCATAGACTGAAACTGTCTATCTAGTTGTACAGGGTTGGAAGGGAATTTGGGGGATAGGGTGTGACTGCTAATGATTATGGGAGATTCATGTACTGCCCCCCCAATGGGGATCAAGCTCAGGACCTTGTGCTTGCGAGGCAGGTGTGGCACCACTGAGCTAAATCTGTGTCCCTCATTTTTAAACTTTTTAAACTATGGTTAAAAAAAAACCCACACAACCTAAAATTTACCAATATTACCATTTTTCAGTGTATAGTTCAGTAGTGTTAAGTACATTCACATTGTTGTAAAACAGATGCCTATAACTTTTTCATCCAGCAAAACTTAAATGTTACAGCTGTCAGACGTGGTGCTGCATGCCTGTAATCCCAGCCCTCGGGAGTGAAATAAGGCAGAGCCTGGAGAATCACTGTGAGGTTAGCCTGGCCTACATAGTGAGTTCAAGGCCAGCTTGAACTACACAGAAGAGACCCTGCCTCAAAAAAGCAAATGAATGAATGAATAAAAAAGTAAAATGCAGCCTGGCGTGGTGGTGCATGCCTATAGTCCCAGCCCTCAGGAGGCTGAGGTAGGAGGATCGCTGTGAGTTCGAGACCAGCCTGGGCTACATAGTGAGTTGCTTTCGGTAACCACCAGAGACTTTCTGCTTCTATGAATTTGACTATTTTAGGGATCTCATTTGAATTATATGGTACTTGTCTTTTGTGACTGACTGATTTCACTTAACATAATACTGTAACTTGTGACATAATTTCCTTCCTTTTAAAGCCCAAATACTCTTCTAAGTATATAGCAATTTTGTTCATCCATTCAGTCACTGATGGACCACTGGCTATTGTGAATAATGATACTATGAATATGTTTCAGATTTTATTTTCATTTATTTTAGCTATATATCCAGAGGAGGGATTGCTAGATCATGGCAGCTTCCTTTCAGTGCTGAAAATGTTCTAAAAATTTAATGGTAATAATGATTATACAACCCTGTGAATGTTCTAAAAAAATCACTGAATTGTACACTTTAAGGATAAACCATGTATACTATGTGAATCACATCTCAATAGAGTGTTAAAAATATAACTCTTAAAGGCTGAATCAAGTATATAATTAATTACTTCAAGGATCTTGACTTAACTAAAAAATCTAGTAAAATAAATCAATCTTATGGCCGGGGATTTAGCTCAGTGGTTCCACCACCTGCCTCACAAAAGCAAGGTCCCGAGTTTGAGCCCCAGTAACAAAAAAAAAAAAAAAAAAAAAAAAAAAAAAAAGAAAAAGTCAATCTTGTCCTTCAGGTAATTTTAATTCTTATTTTCAGTGGACTGGCTAGTTTAAGCACTTTTAAGAAAATAACTTGTGTTTCCTCAGCAATGCACATTAGAGAAAGGAAACTGTCAGTATGTGACTAATTCATTTTTTTTTTGGTATTGGGGATCAAACTTGGATACTTGCACTTGCAAGGCCGGTGGCAGAACCAATAATCTAAATCCCCGGCCCTTTAATTAATAATTTTAATCTTGGTTTTGTTTTTTTTTTTTTCACATTTTGTATCAGGAATAGTGTGGGGGGGAAAAAACCAAAATCAAAAACAAAAAGCAAATTCACACCAACGCTGGCAATTTTTATTTCATTTATTCTAGGCATGTCAGTGACCAGATTTTTTTAAAGATAGGGAAATAAGATAGGACTTAATTCACTTTGACTACAGGTTCATTTTCTGAAAGGCTCCTCACAATTATTTTATACAGAAGATATTCAAATGACACAGGGTTTGACTTTTTGCAGTAAAAAAAACTATACAATTGAAAAAGAAAACCCTTATGTTCAATGTCACTGAATGGGAAAAGAGTCAATAAATTAAAAAACAAAACAAAACTAGGAGAGTCAAAATTTTGAGAGGAAAACATGTATCAAATTCAGATTCTTCTCATCTTTGTTATACACAACTAGAAAAGCTAATGGCAATATAGATGGCTATTGGTGCTCAGAAACCTGTGTTATCATTTTCCTTTCTGCTTTATCTAAATATTTTCAAAGAGGGTCAAGATTCAAAGACACCACTTTAGAAAGATAATAATGAGGTCATCTCAAAGGTTTCTCATGACCTTCTGAGATCCGAGCAGAGCAGGACTACAAGAAACCTTATCTGTCCAATCAGTTTTTAAAATAACAGGCTCTCTATGATCCATAATAAAGAAGAAACACGTTTTGGAAGTAAGCTTTCAGTCTTGGTCCCAAGGCAGAATTCTAATTACAGAGATAATTATGTTGAATAGTATTTCTTTCCAGCTAAGACATCTTATATACTTTAACAGCTTTTCCTAAATAATTTCTCAGGGTTGATTTAAAATGAACACTGAAATACTACCAGTTGATTCACTTGATTTCAGTTCTTATTACAGTTTCTTCAAAATCCGTTTGTGTGCAGAAGCAAAATTATGAATGGCGCTTCGAAGAGCTGAATTTCCCTCAGAGACATCTGAGGAACTGATGACTGAGTACAGTGCTCGATTATATGCTGCAAAACAAAAGTTTGCTCAGTGATGAAGAAAGTTAAATTCTAAACTGCTCTACTAGTGTTGTTTCTCTACCCTGAGTCCCATAGGCATTAACTTTACTCATGGAATAAATGTTTATTGAATACTTCAATACAAGAAGAGCTCTGTAAGGACAGAGAAGAGAATGGAGAGGTTACACACAAGAAATAAACCACAGTGTACTACTTTCCAACCAGAAGAATTTACAAAATGTCATCACAGAGTGAAGTTGGAAATAAATAACTATCTGGAGAGGACTGTAAAGACTTCCAGAAATGGCACCTTCTAAGGTGGCCTTGAAGGGTTAGTACGAATAAAGAAAAGAAAGCAGGATATCATACTCGACACAGAGTAATTTTACTAGAAATAGCAAGTAGAGAGTGGCTTGGGGCTAGACAGAAAATATGCCATGTATTTTGTGCTGTCACAGGGATTCCTAGAGATTTTTAAATAGGAGAATTAAGTGATCATTTATGTATTTAAAAAAATATAACACATAGACCTGCTAAGAAACTCATTACATGGATGAGGTACCCTAGGAATACAAATTACTGTATTGGCAGAATTTTTAGTTTATAACTGAGTCCTACATAATCTTTACACTACCCAAATCAATATACTTAAGGATGGACAGGAAACAGATACATTAGTGACAAAAGGAAGGACTTCATTTTATCTGACTGGGACTCTTGATAGAGGGCCACATTTTCCTCAGTATTCCCTGGGAAAAATGGCAGCCTAATATGGAGATATATGTAGTAAGTCTGTATTAGATACCTACCATTAAGTATGCATACAGCACAGAATTCAAATATACAGACCTCTAACATATAAGCTATAAAAGGCAAGATCTATGTCTTCAGTTAAAAGAGGACCTCAGAGTGAAATAAGGGGGAAATATTTCCTCATCATAAATGAAGATAAAAGGTAGCAGAGTAGATCTCAAAAAGAAATAAAATTCACTGTAATTATTTTCATTATCTCAGAGTTGTTTTGTAAAGGTGTTATGATACTCTGTTGTATGCAGTAAGCACTCAAAAAATATTAAATTACCATTATCACTATTTTAATTTTTAAAAAATTGCTATTAGTGGCTGGAGATGTAGCTCAGTGGCACCACACCTGCCTGGCAAGTGGTAGCTCAGTGGCACCACACCTGCCTGGCAAGTGCAAGGTCCTGAGTTTGATCCCCAGTACCAGAAAAAAAAAAAATTGCTATTAGGTCCCAACCACTCCTTCAAGAAACTTACCTCTATGGTTTTTATAGAAAATACAATTGTTGGCACAGGTATCAGGATGAGCATCCCAAAAATCAGGACCACAAAAGCACAGTGGTGGTAAAGTAATATTATATAGCTTCATTTTCTCCTGGACCTGGGCACGTAAAGCTTCTACATATCTATGAAACACAATAATGATCAGGCAAAGTAAACTTCTAGAAAAACAGTAAGCATGAATCCTGATCTAACAACTTGCTTTAACTGTATAAGCTATTTTATATCTCTCTGGACCTTGATCCCTCCTCTGCACATTAAGAAATAGCACTAGGAAAAAGACTGCTATTTCTGAGAGGTACCAATCAAGATATCTGTAACATTATATACCCTTAAATGAGGAAAAGCGTGAGAGACAGTCAAGTCTCTTTTCAGGGAAATGATACCAACATCCTATTAAGTCTCCTGTAGGGCCAGAATTTCATACAGAACTTTTTACATTACCTTACATGTTCTTTTTCTCTCTGTTGGTGCTTTTCTCTGGCACTTTTTATTTCTTCAAGTTGTAACTGGCCTAAATTGTCACTCGTCTTCTCCTCTGAATATGGTGCTCCATGAGAGCTCATTCTTATGACCCTCTGCTCTTCAACATAACGTTGTTGTTCTTTCTTTTTCTTAATTCTGAGAATAAAATCATACACAATCAGGAATTTCATAAAGTTGTTAGTCAAAATTAGCTTCTGGATACAAACACATCAAGAAATTCCCCAAAACAAGTCAGTCGTGAAATTAATTTAACACCCCTGGAGTATCTTCAAAAGTTCTTGCTGGCCAATTTGAATTTATCCAACAGTCATCTAAATACATAGCCTCTCAAAGAAAAATGAGAATAAATTTTCTGTAAGAATCTTAGCACAAAAGCCATTCAAGTTAAAACTGTAAGAAGACAGAACTTTTGCTTCTGGACAAAATCAAGTAACAGGGACCAGATTTGCCCTCCCACCCTGGACAATGAAAGAAACTTAAAAAGTAATAAAGTAAGTTGGACAAAGGTTTTCAAGACACTGGGCATAAGCCAACAAAAGGTAATGGTTCCTGACAGATGGGAAGCAAATAAAGCTAGCCCTGTAACTGCCAGACATTACTGCCTAGAATGTTTCCAGGCAATGGCACAGGGTGGAATTCCAGGGGAGCCTGGTAGACTCCCTGAGTTAAGGGGATGGAGCTCAGAGAGTGCAGAGAGGGAAGGAAAATTAGGGAAACACAGAATACCAGGTAGAGAACTGCTCACAGAGAAAATCCCAGAAAGGAACAGTCTCCTTCTAGTATACAGCAAAGTACTGACTGGTACACATATGCAAAGCAATAACCCAAGGCCAGGAAAAATATCCAAAGTAGTAAGAGGAAACACTGGTTAGTGTTTGTACAACACAGGACATAGTTCCCATTCCCACCAATCACAGACCAGAACCTCTGCAACCATAAACCAAAATAAAGCTTTTCTCTTTATAAGTTTATTATTTCAGGTATTTGTTATAGTAACAGAAAATTGCCTAATTCAACCAGCAACCAATAAAGTAAAATTTATAACATCTGACATCCAGTCACTGATTACAAGCACACAAAGAAGCAGGAAAACAACTCATAATTAAGAGAATAATCAGTCAATCAAAAGTAACCTAGAACTGACACTGTTATGTTAGAATCAGGAGAGAAGAACATTAAAATAATCGTTAAAACTGAATATTCTTGGTCAGGGATTTAGCCCAGTGGTTCTGCTGCCTGCCTTGTAAGTTCAAGGTCCCCAAGTTTGATCCCTGGTACCAAAAAAAAAAACAAAAAAAACAAACAAACAAAAAACAAACCAACTAAACATTCTTCCAAGCATGGTAGCACATGCCTGTAATCTCAGAACTCTGGAAGGGTGAGGCAGGCGGGTTGCAAGTTTCAGCCCAGCCAGAACAACTTAGTGGACTTAGTGGGACGCAGTTTCAAAATTTAAAAAAAGAGCTATAGATGTAGCTCAGTCCAAAGGCTGAGTTCAATCCTCAGTACTAGGGGAAAAAAGGAGACTGAAATCAAACTTGTATAGATGAAGACTGTACTTTGAGATGAAAACTAAACTATATATTAGAGGTGGTAAACCTATGGCATGGGTGTTGTGTTTTAAGACAAAAGATGGTAATGTATGAGTTTTTTTCTAAACTAAAACTTCAGTATTCAAGTTTAACTGAAGTGTTGACACTTTGTGATAAGTGGGTTCTGGGTTGCAGTTTGGTACTCGGTCTCTAAAAGGTTCATGGTTACTGTTATTTATGATTACCAGCATATTACATGTCACAGAAGCAAATGTGAAAACATATACAAACTATCTCAAAGAACCACAGGGGTAAAAAAAAAAATCCAAAACCAGTAACACACGCACTGATCAGTTAAGAAATGGGTATGGGACTTAAGTAGGCACTTAGCCAAAGATGATACATGAATTGACCAATATGCATATGAAAAGATGCTCAATATCACTAATTACCAAGGAAATACAAACCAACACCACAATAAGATGACACTTAATACATGTGAAAATAAAATAAGAGCTACAAAATGATCTACAATTTAAATTCTGTGTACATATCCAAAATAATTAAAGAATTAAAAGAAAAGTCTCAAAAAGACATTTGTACTTCTATTTTATAGAAGCACTAATTCTCGGTAGAAAAGAGGTGGAAGCAACTTAAATGTCCGTTTAAAGATGAACAGATATAACAAAATATGGCCTGCAGATATAATGGACTATTACCAGCCTTAAAAAAGAAGAAAACTGTCAAGTGCAACAACATGCATGAACTTGAAATATACTACACTATAAGTGAAAAAAGCCAGCCATAAAAAGTCAATTGTATAATGTCACTTATATGAAGGTCTAGGATAATAAAGTTCATAGTTACAAAAGTAGACTGTGGATTACTGGGAGCTGGGAGTCAAACAAAAGAAGAGCTGTTTAACTGGGACACATTTCACATGTGCAAGATCTACAGATCAGTCACCAACATTTAAAAATGGCTGAGATACTGTTTTACCTTTAATAAATCTTTTTTTTACCTTTAAAAAATCTTAAAGTTAGTAACTTTTAATAAAATTTAATTGTAAATTTTATTTTATGTGACACCATTTTTTAAAAAGTCACAAATAAATGAACAGGTGAATTAAAAATGAAATAAGTTGTTTTTAGACATACAAAGGCTGAAAAACATTCATTCCCAATCGACCCAAAATTGCAAGAAATGTTAAAAGATATCTTTGGGCCGGGGATTTAGCTCAGCGGTTTGGTGACCTGCCTTGCAAGTGCAAGGACCCAAGTTCAATCCCTGGTACCAAAAAAAAAAAAAAAGAAAAGAAAAAAGATATCCTTTCCACAGAGGAAAATGATACTGTAGTTTTATATACTTACAATTTTTCTCTGCTGACTCTCTTTACATAATTAGCCGCTTAAACCAAAAGTAACATATTTTATATTTTTTAAAATGCATGACAACACTATGAAGGATGAGAAAATGAAAATATATTATCACAGATTCTTATACTATACATGAAATAGTGTAATTTGAAAGTCACCTAAAAAATTAAGTATATGCTATAAACCCTAGAACACCCAATAAAATACAAAATAACTACAGCTAATACGCCAATAAAGGAGATCAAATGCAGTTGTAAAAATAGAACAGTAACCCAAAATAAGGAAGAAAAAGAGAAAATCAGAAATACAATAGGTGGAACAAACAGAAAATGGCAAGATAATATAGTCATATACTACCTGTATCAATAATCACATTAAAGACATGTAGTCTGAATACTTTAATTAAAAGGCAGAGGTTGTCAGATTTGACAAAGTCAAGATCCAATTACATAATATGGTCAAGATATGTATTTTTTAAAAGATACGTAAACAGTAGATTAAAAATAAAAAGACAGAAAAAAGATAACATGTTAGACTAGTTAAAGGAGGCTGAAGTAACATATAAACACATACACATCGAAACACATGTATACAGGCATATCAGATATGTATACGTCCATATATACATCTATATCATATATGTGTATCTGTATACACACACATGTAGATTTCAGATCAAAGGAAATGATCAGGGATAAAGAAGATTGTTTCATAATGATAAAAGAGACACAGTAATCCTAAATACTTATGTACCTAAAAACAGAGTTCCAAAATAGATGAAGCAAAAACATGTGAACTTCAAGGAGATATACACAAATTCAGTTACATGAACATACTTCAATGACCCTTCCTCAACTACTAATAGAATAAGTAGACAGAAAAATGGCAAGGATAGAATTGACAGACACCACTGACCACCTTGACCTAAGGGACATTTATAGAAAACTGTAGCACAGAATAGTAGAATGCATATTATTCTATTGTAAGGCTCTTGAACCTGGAACATTTACCAAGATAGACAATATTTTGGGCCATAAAACAAACTTCAATACATCCAAAGAATTCAAACCACACACAGAATACTCTTTGACAATAATGAAATCAAATTTGAAATCAGTAACAAGCAGATTCTCGGAAAATACCTAAAGCAGAAATTAAAGGAATTTTGAGCAGAATTAAGTGAATTTATTAGATTATGTTAAAGCGTACCTAAATGCCTAAAAAGAAGGATCTCAAATCAAAGACCTCAATATCTTAAGAAATTTAAGGAGAAAATTAACCTGAAGGTAAGAAGAAAAGATGAGATTTAAAACAGAAATCAGTGACACAGAAAACAGAAAATGAACCCCAAAGGTAGAACTTTGAAATAATACAACTGATAAATCTTGAGCCAGTCTGATTACATTATGAATATAAAAAAGCACACAATCTTACAGAATCTGTAGATATTAAAAGGAGAAGACTAAGGACAATTTTATGCCAATAAATTAGATGACTTAGATGAAATGCTAAATTATTTGAAAAATACAGATTAGTTAATCTCACTCAAGAAAAAATAGAGAACACAAATAGACCTATATCAATAACACTGAAATTATAGTTAAGAACTTTTCCACAATTAGAAATCCAGAACCAGAAGGATTAACTAGCAAATTTTACCAAACAACTAGGGAAGAAACAGTACCAGTTATAAAAAAAACTCTCCCCCCAAAACAGAAGAGGAGTACTTCCCAGTTCATTCTGTAAAGCTAATACTAACCTGAACAAAAACCAGATAAAAGACAACAGATTTAGAAAAATGTAAATTAACCTCTCAAAATGAAAAATGCAAAATAAAAGTTTAGCAAATAAAAGGATGATGTATTATTAGCAAGTGAGGTATACCTCAGGAACTTAAGAGTTGGTTTAACATTCAAACAAACAACTTAATTTAGTGTTCTCTCTCTCTTTCAATTTTTTGATGGTGGTTGTACTAAGAATTGAACACGGGACCTTCACATTTAGCTACATCTCCAGCCCTGTCCCCACCCCAAATTTAAACAGGGTCTCACAAAATTGCCCAAGTGGGATTCACACTTTTGGTCCTCCTGACTCAACCTCCCAAGTGCTAGGATTGTAAGTATCCACAACTCTGTAATTCACCGCAATAATAAACTTAAAAAAAAAAAACTATATGCTTATTTCAACAGAAAAAGAATTTTACAAAATCCAACATCAATTTCTGACT